ACGGTGTCGAAAGATGAGGTGAAGAGACGTGCGATTGGGATGAAGAAGCTTGGGACAATATTGCAAGTAAGTTTTTGTAGTATTAATTTAATAATATGTAGGAATAAAGTGAGATTGCAAATTGTGTGGTGGTGTTATTATTTTTTTTCAGGCTAAATAAAAATGGAAGCAATCAAGATAAAGAGAAATAAAATGGCATTAATACAAGTAAACAATTTCAATTTGTCTTGTGACTTGTCAGGGAGCAAAGACAAATTATCGCAGGGATAATAGTTTGAGACAGGAAGGCGTTCAAGTCCAACAACAGTCTGCTTCTTCATCCAAGTAGCATGTGTGTATGCTCATGCTTCCATGTCATCATCACGTATTCAATGTTTTTATGTTGATTATTGTAGTGAAATACTCTGTGTAAGTTTGCATTTTTTGTTGCATTATAATTCAAGTTTGTAATACTTTGCGAATGTATTTTATAAGATGAATGTTCAGAAGGATTTTTGTTATAAGTTTCTAATTAAATAAGGTATTTGGTTATTGAAAGTTAAAGTTTGTCTTTAGGTAAACGAATCTCTTCTTTGAATATAAATGTATGACATAGGTTTATTATATAAATGTTGATTATGAAATTATATTTAGTGTTGATCAACTAAACAAAAAATATATAATTAGTAAACAAAAAATATATAATTATAACAAACATATACGGTTAGTAAACAAATAATATGTAATTAGCAAAACAAACTATATATATATATATATATATATATATATATATATAACATTTTTTATCCATTACAGCAACATACAAATTTTTTTTTTCTACTGGTATAGGGAATATATATATATTTTTATTCATAATAGCAACATATTATTATTTTTACACGTAATAGAAATATACTTTTTTTTTATCAAATATAGCAATGTACTTTACATTTTCTTTTATATAATGTACTTTTTTATCCATTATGTCAATGCACGTTACTTTAAATTTCCATAATAACAACATACATGATTTTTTATCCATATTAGCAACCTACTTTAATTCTTATTAATTACCGATATAGACAATTTACTTCAATCTTTTACCCATAATAATAACATACATTAATTATTATCTATCATAGCAATATACTTATACTTTTTTTTTATACATAATAGCACCATATTTTTTTTATGCATAATAACAAAAAATAAATATATAAATAAATAAGCTTGTAATATTTTAAGATTTTTTTAAAGATGGTATTTTCTAAAATCTATGGACTTTTATTATTAGATTATAAAAAAAGGGGACATGGTTATTGAAACTCCTGTTTGAATATAAATTTATAACATAAATTTTCTTAGGCAAATTATTTAGGCTGTCAATATGAACGTGTTGACCCTTCAACATATTCTTTTCTCCATATTATTAGTTGTGTATCTGCACGCACAATGTGACATAATATAATGGTTTATGGTAAAAAAGTTATAGAATAAGTTGTATGTGAATTTTATTTGTATCTTATTTGGCTCAAACATCTACTGTAACTTGTAGTTCTTAACACAGTGGGTGCATTACACCAAATTTCACTACATCCCTATATGTAAATGAGACTAGTGTAAGTGTATTAGTTGCAAGGTGTTCCCAGATGAAGCTTGCGCTTAGCAACACAAATTGTTGGTCATGGTCTTGCACTTCAGTAAAAGTTTACATATTGGATCAAAGGTAGCTAATCCAAAGACCATTTGGAAAAACTTAAGGGAAAGCTAGCTAATCCAAAGCCATTTGGAAAAACTTAAGGGAAAGCTAGCCGATGATTTTATAGATAAGGTTATTGCAAACGTGCATATTGGAGCTAGTTCTGTGAGAAATGAAGAACTGAATAACCATCAAAGAGGTGGGAAAATACCTTGGGGATATCAACAAGGAAAACCAAGGAACATAGACTCATGACTCCACTTAGCAAACACGAAAAGGGGGAAAACTCGGGGACTCGTGACTCGACTCGCCGAGTCTCGTTCACATGCAATTACTACATACTCGATTTTGCTTGGATCCAACTCATGCCATACATAGATTGGGCTCTTAGGGTAGGTTTTACACGTAAAGTTTCCAACTTTACGTGTATACATGCATAGGATGGGGATTTAAGGCTTAATAAAGACCAAAATGGTAGATCTAGGACATTCAAGCCATTTATTTCCATAAAGGCCATGGATCTCAGCTTCTGGAGCTCAAACATGCCTAGATCTAGAGGTTAATCAACTCATTACCATCCCTAATCCATAAACAAGCTTGGAAAATGGCTCAAGAAGGACTTTAATGGTGCTCTAAGGGACTCTTAGCATAAAAACAGAAGGAAACTAAGTTATACCTCAAGGAATCTCTGAAATAACACCAAGATATCTGGCCTCCTTCTGCTTCTCTTGATCTACACTCCTTTTCCTCTCAAAATCTTCAAGAAATCACACCAAAACACTTAAATTACCAAAGGAAGTGTTAGGGTTTCGTGAGGGACATTCTGGTGGTGAATGGGGGCCGACATGAGGCACAATAGGATGCTTAAATAGGGTGCAAACCCTTGAAATTAGGGTTTCATTCAGACAGCGGGGGCTCGCCGAGTCCAGAATATGGACTTGCCGAGTCGCCAACTTAAATGTGCTCAATAACCCGGTTCTACTCGGCGAGTCGGACCTACAACTCGCCGAGTTCAAGGCAAAAAAAATACAAAATACTTAGATGAAACTACATACCAAGAACCAGGTGCTACAATACGGGCCCCACCCACACTCGGATAACGGTGAGATACGGGCCCCACCCACACTCAAATGACAGTGAGATACAGGCCCTACCCACACTTGAATAACGGTGAGATATGGGCCTCGCACATACTCGAATAACGGTGAGATACGGGCCCCACCCACACTCGAATAAGTGTGAGATACAGGCCCCGCACACACTCGAATAACGGGCCCCGCCCAATGAGATACGGACCCCGCCCACACTCAAATAATAATGAGATACGGGCCCCGCCCACACTCAGATAATAAGGAGATATGTGCCCCGCCCACACTCAGATAACATATATCGAATAAAACACATACACATGTGATAATCACATAGATACATAGCATACAGATATCCATCAAGCCCTGCCCGACATTGGGCCTTAACCCAGAAAACATATAAACACAACACATGCAAGAGTCACGGAGACAACTAGCATACTAACAACATAATATAAACATGGGTCAGCCTTGGTGTCTTCGACTTGCTAAACCCAGTAAGGAAACTTGTAACATCCCGACTCCCATGTATAAATTTACTTAATTTATAATCATTTTGACAGGGCAACTCGACGAGTTAGAAGCCCCAACTTGTCGAGTAAAGATTGAGATAGTCGCGTGGTTTTTAGAATCTACTCGACGAGTAGGAGCTAAGTGTGAAAACCTTAATTTGTAGGTTTTGCACCCTATTTAAAGTACCTTAAGTCCTTTACTGTAACGCCTATGTTTCTGGGCTTGCCATTAATGTTGATATAATAGTCTAGTTTAACCTTTGTAACCTGTTTTGAAATAATAGAAGTGTATTATTTGAGTATCATGTGTTTTGTGCTTAACTGTGTGACTTAAATAAATTAAGGATAAAAATAAGCGTCAAAATGAAATGTTAGATAAAGCCGATATCTATGGATAATGTTGTAGTAGTTGAAACGAGGTTTCCGAATATATAAAGAATGTCGGAATCCAAGTTATAACGAAGAAGTTATGACCTATCGAAGTTTCGCGATAGAACCGACACGACATAGAATGATGTAAAACAACAAAACAACTTCAATGAGAATTTGTTTGGGTATTTTCAGTAAGAAAGAACAAATAACATTTTGTCGAGCACTTGGTATGCCTCATGAAGTCACTTTCAAATTTGACAATATGTGAGCTTTTCCTTTGTATTAATCTTTCAAATTATTTTCATTTTCTACAATTTTCCCCAAATAAACATACAGATAAAACCAAATCCTTTATCAAGCAGAAATATACAAATAATAACAAATCTTTCTCATGGCTTTATAGAAGAAATAGAACAGACTAAACAAAAATGTAAAAATCTTACTCCCCTTCTTCAAGGATCGGTGCGGATCGGTGCAAGAAGGAAGAAGAAATGAAGGCTAAAAGAGTTGTTATGGAAAGATGTTTACTGATTATAAGGCTAAGGGTAAAATTGTCAATTAATTTGAAGTGGAGAAGACATTGAACATATTACATGTGTCATTAAGAGAGAGGATATATATATATATATATATATATATAATATATATATATATATATATATATATATATATATATATATATATATATATATATATAGCACAAAGAGCTCGATGACAGGAACAATAATTGATTTTCTTAGGGATGCATAATTTTGGAACGCGCATAACGTAGGGGCAATTGGTCGTCATCCGAGAATATGACATCTTATGGACGTCATACCTTGGTTGTGATGCGAGAAAACACGGGATGGGTACGTATATTGTGGGTGGATATATTTTTTATTTTGATTAAAAATTTACTAAAATAAATAAAAATGGAAGAAATAATAATAATAATAAAACAAATTAGTGTTTTCTACTCATTTACATATGTCTGGACCAAAATTATAATGTAAATTTTATTTCGGACTAGTAAAATTTTGTCTTAAATTTATAACTAATAGATTTTATAGGCTTTTTCAAAATTTGATCTTACCATACAATCTGTCTCATAGATCGCAATTCTAGAGACCTTTGTTACAACCGATCTTTATCGAATTTGATTTTAATAGAATCAAAATGAAACTAGATAAATCATAAAATGAAATGACACGTAGCAACATATGATTAGGTGGCAAAATTCCGCCAAGATTAAGACAAATTTAGTGACACGTGTGACTTCAAAAGTGACATGCAAAAACCGTCATCTTCTCCGACCTCTTGTGTATAGATTTCGACCCACGCCGCGATAAAACCACCTTCCCTTTGCAAATAAATTACTTGCACTCAATAAACCACTCTCTTTTCTAAATCGGAAAACATGGCAGATATACGTGATCAAGCCGGCAACCCGATTCAACTAACAGATGAGCTCGGCCGCCCTGTTCAACTCACCGACGAGTTCGGCCGCCCCATGCACCTCACTGGTGTCGCTACCACCGAAGATTCAGGCCTTCATGCCGGCACAACAATCGGTTCTGATCTTAAGACGCATGATGGTACCCACGTTGCTCCAACGATCCCCGAGGCAGTGCCTGGTGGTGCCGGAGCTGGAACGGCAGTTCCCTGTGGTGGTGAAGGTGAAAGGCGGGAGATTGGACGCTCAGGAAGCTCAAGCTCCAGCTCGGTAAGTTCAATATATGATTTTTGTTAAAGTTTTAGTAGAATCACCCGGGGAATTGATGGTTTGTGGGTGGGTGTTTAATGGTTGTAGTCGGAGGACGACGGGCAAGGAGGGAGGAGGAAGAAGAAGAAGGGGCTGATGCAGAAGATAAAGGAAAAGCTTCCAGGACATAAGAACAAGGAGGAGAAAGCTCCGGAGAAGGTGTACACAGCTACTACGAAAATAAGTGTGACGACGCCGGCAGGGCCGCTGAATGAGCCAAAACCGGAGTTCGTAAGGGTGGAGCACCATGAGGAGGAGCACGAGAAGAAGGGTTTGATGGATAAGATTAAGGATAAACTCCCCGGCCACCACTCTCACTAGATTCCGATCGACCTTGTCGCCGTTGTAGTTGGTTTATGGATTTCGTCGAGATGATGTGTTTAGCTTTTTTAGCTTTTTAGTTTTTTCTTTTTGTATATATTATATTATTGCTTTATGAATAATATAAGGGTGGCTTAATGGAAATGAATTTATATAAATACCAAGGGTTGTAGTTTGGAGTTTGGACCAAGTGGTAATAGATTTCGAGTAATTTTGAAATTTACTCGTTGTAGTTTTAAGTCTGTTCGTGAAATGGATAGATAGAATCATAGAACTAGAAGAACCTGTTATTAAAGAGGTCGTTGAAACGAAATGTGTAGCTTTTTAGGTTTTCTCATTAAAATTGTGAGATTGTTGTCGTAATTTTTTCCGATAAGTAAAATCCAACCCTACCTATTTTTTATCCCAAAAAATATACTTTTCGAATATTCCACCCATCTACTAATTAAACACTATATTTATAATTAATTAATATAAATTAGTATACAATATGATATTATAAATATTAAATATTACATTTAAATTATAATTATTAGATATTTATAAAATAAAAATGAGAGCGACTAAAATTGACTATAAACTTATCTATTTTTGCATTTTTAGAGGTGGAAATAGGGTAGGGTTGAAGAAGAATGGAGGAAGAAATAGGAGAAGAAATAGAGTATGAAGATGGGTTGAAGATGCCTAGTAAGTGCCAAAATTTGGTCATTGATTGGAGTGTGACAAGATTTGTAAATAACATTCATAATTGAAAAAATATTTTGTACTTAAATTGAAAAATCAAAGATATTTATAGTTGTGATAAAGTATATATATATATATATATATATATATATATATATATATATATATATATATATATATAATCTCTTTTATCTTTCTCAATTTTATAAAAAGATAAAATTAACTCAAAAGGACACTTAAAGGGAAAATTGCTTTCTAAAAAACATGTGAAAATGTATTTTGTACTTAAATTGAAAAATCAAAGATATTTATAGTTGTGGGCAAAGACTTGGTTGGACCTTTGGGTGTGTGCACGTTATATCACTCGTTATTGCCATGTGTCTTCACTTTAACCCCGGGGTACACCCCTCATGCCATGTGTTTTCACTTTAACCCCGGGTAACACCCCTCATGCCATCGTTATGTGATGCTCCGTGGCGGTGGTAACGAGACGCGGTCGGTATTTTCTCTCCGATTCCTATAACCTTTTTTATGTTTTTCTTCTTTAATTTGTCTCAGTAGCGATGTTGTGAGTGTAACGTCCGATTCAAGGTATGTATTTTATGTAAATTTTTTCACCTTTATAAAAGAACTTTATAAGAGAACTCGACGAGTTGGAAGCCCAAAACTCATCAAGTAGGAATTATTTTTGGGACACAAGTTAAGAGACCTATTCGACGAGTTGGGAGCCCCAACTCGACGAGTAAGGCTGGCAGAGTGAAACCCTAATTTCAGGATTTTCACCTTATTTAAACACATTAAGAAGGGAGTAGATCCATAAGTTAAGCTCCATTTCTGGTTCAATAGAGGTAAAAAGCTCCTAACTTTTCCATTGTGTATTTAGATCTCTTTATCTCCATTTTTGTTGAGTTTTTGGTCCAAGTAGCTTGGTCCTTAGGAAATGGACATCCCAAGTGATTTACCTTTCAGATATGGGGTCTAGAAGGGGTTCCAATGCATAAAGGTGCAAACTTTATGGCCATGGAAGCCCCCATCCAAGCTTTAAGGCATCATTTCAGCCTTTTAAACCATAAAAGGTCATGCATGGAGGGAAAGATTGAAACCTTACGTGCTCATTTGGTGTCTAGGGCCTAGATCTCAGTTTTCATGCTTTGGTTTGGAGTATTATGGCTTTTGGACTAAGATCTATGTCTTAAAGGATTAGGGTTTGAGCTAAAACCATTAAAGGAAACTATTAACGGGTAAAGTTGGAAACTTTACCCATAAAAGGACCTTTTCAGTGTGTAGAAGAAGTGTGGAGTCCAGATTTGAAGGATAGGAGCTTAATCTATTAAGATGGCCCAACAGACTGAAGAACTCATCGAGTCCATAGAGGAACTCGATGAGTTGGGGTGAAATGTCCCGATTCTTAAAAGGGGAAAACTAGATGAGTCTAAGGATGACTCGACGAGTAGAATGGGAAGTTACGATATCATGGATAAGAGGAACTCGTCGAGTTATGAAAGAACTTGATGAGTTGGATCGCGAGTGCAAGGTTTTATGAATCATGGAACTCGACGAGTTGATGGACCAAACTCGACGAGTTGAGTCAATCATATTTTGACTTTGACCATATGTTGACTTTGACCAGGGTGTTGACTTTGATTTTGAATTTAACCAACTTGTCCCTTAAGGTGTTATGAGTATGAAAAGGGTAATTAAAGGAAATTTTCATGTGTAGGAACCGAGAGGGGTTGATTTCAGAGCAGGAGCCTTTGCAGCTATTTCCCAGTTATCGAAGTGAGTTGCCTTCCAGTAGAAGTGGCTTGAAGGCACCAATGTCAGCCCACTAGTAGTTGATTATAGTTAAGATGATTGTCTTTGTGATAATTGTATGGTATGCCACTATTGTTGGGTTTTGAGCATTCTAACACTCCTAAGTGTACATGCAACCCTAAATACCTTGGATCTATGTTTTCTCTATTATACATGCAAATAAGAATATCCAAGGTATTATCCTAATCTAGCATACAAAACAATGAGTGTAACAAGATAGAATACATACCTCTTTGATGTAGAAAGTCTTCATGAAGCTTGAGTGCCTATCCCCAATAGTGTGGAAGCCTCAAATGGAATCACAATCATCAAAACACTTAGAATAACTTGAGAGAGTTCTACACTTCATGAAATCGGCTAGCCCTTTTGTTACTCTCACTAGTGGCCGATTTTGTCAAGAATAATATCTTTATATAGTGTTACAATTAGGGTAAATCCTTAATTGTCATGGCTTTCCATTTCCTTGGATCCATGGGTTCAAATACACCATGGAGCATCCATGGACCATCCTATGGGTTTTAGCCCAACTTGATTATCCATGGAGCATTAGCCCACTATATAAGTATCGATGATTTACACAATCAACCCATATATTTAATTAGTCTTCTTTTGATCACTTAATTAATCGTAGATTAATTCTTGATCAATACTAATTAAATAATCTTATTATTCTTATTATTAATACACTAGAACTTATAATATATTAATAACCATAAGTGTCTTATTTCTCTCATTATAGTCTATCCAAGTGCATGATGGTATGCAACCCAAATGGACCATGCCGGGTCGGGTCAAGTCTTACCAATTATAGTTATGGACTTAGACATTAATCCAACAGTCTCTTACTTGGATAAGTCTAAAACTATTATTGCGTATGACTTCAGGAACCAACTGGCAATCGTAGCTCTCAAAAGCTTCTGTCGAACTCTGACCTTGTAGATGAACTCTGATCTTGTCAATGACTTGTCCATTAGATAAGGGATCATATAATCCTCTGTTCTCATGATATCAGCCGGACAAATACATGGAACAACGTCGTACTTATTATCCAGCAGTTTGTTTCTCGATTTTCGATTTGTTTGACAAAGAACTTAATCGAACACATCAATTCAGTTCTGACCGGCCGGTACATAGGTCACAACAAAATCATCGAGGGGCCCAGATATCGCTTCTATTTCTAGAAGGAACAGATAAACTTCGACTCATATACTTGTTCTACTACTTGTTGAATTGTACACAAAGGCACGTTTTATAACATCAAGTTACTGATGCGTTTACGTGCAATCAATGCACAACCAACTCATAGGTAACAACTCATATCTCTAGGTTTGAAGATTTATATGATATTACCGTCTCACGATCACTCGAGATAAATTCCATGAAGTGATACAAGTGAGCGTGGGTTTATTCCAATACTCATAACTTATGAGCACTCATGAATGTTGTAGCACCATTGCCATGACTAAACCCATTTAGCCATCTACAAACCCGATTCATGACAGTCTTGATTCATACCTACTTCCAACATATGAACGACTGTGGAGTGTTTAAATAACTTAGTCATTCGGAAAGAATAACCTAGCTATTTTGGAAGTCAAAACATGCAAAGTGAAACACAATAATAATCGAATCTAATATGGTCTCAGAACCTTTTGAATATAAATAAAACCACTTTTTATTTATCACCATATTGATTACACATTATTCAATGTTTCAAATAATCAACTTAAGACTCGAATAAAACAACAGTCGTCCCATGCTCCTAGCATGTACACTTTGTTTTCTAAACAATAGTTATGCCATACCCCAAGTATGCACACTATGTTTGTCTATGATCCTTACATTGTGATGTAGATCAATTGAACATGATTCCAATGATACTCATTTCACAATCCCAAATCCTTATTGTAAATGCAAGAATTCCAAATTCATGTCATTTACTGAAATCTGTTAGATTCTAAACTTATATGCATTGATCCTCTTGTAATGATTATGCACGAAGTCAGAAGGACTTGACATCAACCATTACAGAGCATTCCAAAGGAGATCAGCTCCTTGGGAACATCCTTCTTGAATTAAGTTTCCTAATCTTACATAGATTGAATAACTTCCACCTATGGAGACATTTCCATAGTCCCATTTGACTATCACTTCCGAACAAGAGTTACCTCTTTTCAGAAAATGTCAATATGGTCCTACCAAAATTAACACTAGACTTCCAAATGTCCCTGAGCAACCAATCTTTGGCGAGCCTCAGATTGTCCTCGACAATTGCTTAATCACTTTAGTCATATCCAGTTCTAGACTTTTCCCTTCTAAATGCCTTAAGCATTTGGAAAATTTAGAAAGGATGAATATTATAGCACGTGAAATCGATCCTATATCCGAAGCATATGGGACACGATTCATGATGTTTGACATAAAGACATGATACTAGACCAGTCTTTTGCTACAATATTTTTTATTTGCCATGTTTTCAAAATTTAACTATGAAGAGGGATGCCGTAATCATAATCGAATTTTGAAAATACAATATATATAGAATTTCTTCAAGTTGAACCATTCCAACACAAAATTCATGTATATTCTTGACTAAAGATGATTAAAATCTCAATCTAAGCTTTAGAGTTGAAATGAAGTATAATTTCCTCTCCCTTAATTATAG